TGATATAAGATTTTAAAACTTGATTAGATGGACATTTTTTGCAGTGAATGGAGACATTTCCAACACTACTGATGATGTTTCCCATATAAATAACTATAATCCGCCAAGACTGCAAAGGTAATAAAGTTTATGATCAAAATATAAAGAAACATCTTGGGATACGACTTAAACGGCTAAAGGATAGAGAGGAAAAACAAAACAGTAAATCTTATAGATATTTCAATTTTTTTCATATCTGGGAAGTTAACAGACGGAAAATAAATCAGTCGGTTGACAGAGCCCCCCACCTTTTTTTTCTTTTCCTCCCTGGGGGGTGCCGGGGTGTGAACACTGACACCCTGCCTGGTTTTAAGTCCATCATGTGGTCATGAGCAAAGCGAGCGCACACACAAACACTCGAGAACTCCCCAAAAGGCTGGTGCCAGCAAAGTGAGAAACACCAACAACCACACGTGTTGTGTTAGTAACCTCAGCCCTCTCTGTGTGTGTGTGTGTTTGTGTGTGTGTGTGTGAGAACAGGGCTCAGGACTCTATTAAGCAGGCATGTGTGGAATGCTTTCAGAGGGAACGGGACAAGATGGCTGTGGTGCCGCCACTACGCGCCTCTCTGTCTCACTTGCCCTTGATCTCAATTGGTCTCGCTTCGGCTGACCCACGGCAGCGTGAAGGGGAGCCATGTCAGACACACACACACACATATATATAAACACACACACACATATAAAGTGCCATGAAGTGAAGCGATGACCTGCCCGGACAGGCTGGAGGTCTCTCAGGGTTCGTTTCTGTCTCCACTGACAGCGAGGAGATAAATGAGTCTTGATCACCTAATGAAGCCCTTTTAGACCTCGTGTAGCTTGTAATGCATTTACAAATACTTCATTTATAGACTCGCTGTTTTACTGTTGGGATTCTTCACATACTGATTGTCTGAAGCGCTAAAAGCTTTCCAATCACTTGCTTTCATAAGTGTAAATTTTAAATCGCTTAGGAACAAGAAAACCTTGAACTGTGACAAAACAGCAGGATTTACATCAACTCTCTTTCTTTTTCATGAACGTTAACGTGTTTGGTTTCCAGTGAGGCTAAATACATTATTTAAGGTTTAGATTAATAGCTAAGTTCTACAAAAAGTTATATTTTTAAGGGAAAGTTACATTATGTCATCATGAGATGAGTTATTCACGTCATATTGGGATAAAACACCCCTTTTCATGGAAATAATTGAATTGTATTTTGCCTTGAGACGGTTTTTACAAGTTCTTGAGTTAATATATTTAAAAAGTATGAACAAACAAAAGCTAATATTTTCTCAAGAATAGATTTTTCTTTTTATAAATCATTAAAAATGGTGTTTCTTCATCAGAAATCTGCATAATCATGATGACTGATCCAAGCAGAAACACCAAGAAATATCAAGTGTATGG